AGACAAGAGCACAATACAGAAAGCCAAAGAAAAAACCAAACAGAAATGATGTTATCAGCTACTTGACGTTCCGGGATTTATTGAAAGGAGGTCGGAGCATTTATGGACTGACTGGTTAAATGTCCAATGTTGATGCTTCCCTAATAAATCAACAGGGGATGGGTCTCTACTTACTGGCCCTGGCAAGCTGGAAGTTGTCGCTGATGTCAATGATGTCCATGGTCAGGTTGAACTGGAAGTACGGATCTCGTTGTCTAGTGTTCTTTCTGTGAGATGCTAGAGCGTATTCGAATGCTTTTTGGGCCACATCATTTCTGCGATCGAATATAGCACCTTGAAAATAAATAGAAAACAAAAACAATTACACGGAAATTGGGGAAACTGGGCGTCCAGGTCTAGTAGCATTAGTAATTATTTCCACACCACTTTTGAGTTGTGAATACCACCTGCAAATTTGTGCACGAGATTAACAAATATCCCCATAAACTTGCTGTATCAATTCAACTGTCGCAATGGCGCTTTTTATGAGTTATAAACAGAATTTAATGTTAGCTTTTTCTTTTGCTCTATGCTGATTAAGTAACAATGCACCTCTGACTAGGTTAACAAAATGACAGCTTGTTTGTTGTTTGCCTATCGGGCGGCGATGAAAAGTTGCCAGATCACTTCATGCTTTTATTCACAAATGGCATTTTTGTCTTGGCCGTAATAAAGTCTCATTACTTGATTGTCGGACCTTGTAGATGGCACGATTGGGGCAAAAACACAGACCCCATCACAATGCTGTTCTCCGTGGTCCGACGTGGCATGTGATAATGACAAACATAATTGTCATAAAGGGGATGATGTGATGATGATGATGGTCATGATGTGATGATGTGATGATGATGATGGTAATAATGATGATGGTGATGTGATGATGATGGTGATGATGGTAATGATGATGATGTGATAATGATGATAGTGATGATGGTGACGATGTGATGTGATGATGATGGTGATGGTGATAATAGTGATGATGTGATGATGGTGATGATGGTGATGGTGATAATGGTAATGATGTGATGATGTGATGATGTGATGATGTGGTGATGGTGATGGTGATGATGATAGTGATAATAATGGTGATTATGTGATGATGGTGATGGTGATGATGTCATGATGGTGATGATGTGATAATGGTGATGATGTGATGATGGTGATGATGTGATGATGGTGATGTGATGATGGTGATGGTGATAATAGTGTTGATGATGATGATGATGATAGTGATGATGATGATGATGATGATGATGATGATGGTGATGATGATAATGGTGATGGTGATGATGATGATGATGGTGATGATGTGATGATGATGATAGTGATAATGTTATAATGGTGATGATGATGATGGTGATGATGTGATGATGGTGATGATGTAATGATGATGATGGTAATGATGATGGTAATGATGTGATGATGATGGGGATGGTGATGATAATGATGATGATGGTGATGATGATGGCGATGATGATGGTGATGATGATGATGATGATGATGGTGATGATAGTGATGGTGATGATAATGATGATGTTGATGATGATGATGATGATGGTGATGATGTGATGATGATGATGACTATGATGATGGTTATAATGGTGATGATGGTAATGGTGATGATGTAATGAGGATGATGATGATGGTAGTGGTGGTGGTGATAATGATGGTGATGGTGATGATGATGGTGATGGTGATGATGATGATGAAAGTGATGATGATGGTGATGATGATGTATGATAATGGTGATGATGATGATGGTGATGTTGATAAGGGCGATGATGATGATAGTGATATGATGGTGAAGATGATGATGATGGTAATTCGAGTGATGATGATGAGGTAATTATGGTGATGATGATGATGAAAAGAAGAGCCATGTGCTTGTACAACAGACATAACGTCATTGAAGTCTCCCTCTATAGTTGTCAAACATTTTCTACCCATTATCTCCCTCTATAGTTGCCTAACATTTATACTCATTATCTTCCTCTATAGTTGCCTAACATTTTCTACTTATTATCTCCCTTTATAGTTGCCTAACATTTTCTGCTCATTATCTCCCTCTGTAGTTGCCGAACATTTTCTGCTCATTATCTCCCTCTATATTTGCCTAACATTTTCTACCCATTATCTCCCCTTATAGTTGCCTAACATTTTCTGCCCATTATCTCCCTCTATAGTTGCCTAACATTTTCTAATCGTTATCTCCCTTTATAGTAGCCTAACATTTTCTACTCATTATCTCCCTCTATAGTAGCCTAACATTTTCTACTCATTATCTCCCTCTATAGTTGTCTAACATTTTCTACTCATTATCACTCTCTGTAGTTGCCTCCTAATATTTTCAACTCATTATCTTCCTGTATAGTTGCTAACATTTTCTTCTTATTATCCCACACTATATTTGCTAAATGTATTCTATGTAGCGCCCCCTTCTATAGCTGCTTCAAATGTTCTACTTGTTGCCTCCCCCACCCCCCCCCCCACTATAATTGCTTAACATGTTCTACTTGTCAATCTCTATAGCTGCTTAAGATGTTTTACTTATTTTTCCTATCTATAGTTGCTTAACATGTTCCACTTCTTGTCCCCCTCTGTAGTTGCCTTGCATGTTCTACTTTTTATCCTCTTCTATAGCTGCTCAACATGGTCTACATACTTAGACTGAACTATGACACAAATGTTTGACCTGTTTGCACAATCTTTGTCCTATCTCTTTAAACAAATGTATGATTGTCCCTAAACATTTTCTTCCCTTCTGTCTTATCTCGTCCAACAGATGTATGATAGCACCTAAACATTTTCTCACCGTCTGCCCCATCTTGTACAACAAATGTATGATTGCCTCTAAACATTTCCTCTCCCTCTATCACATATTGTCCAACAAACTATGATTGTCTCTAAACACTTCCACTTCATCTGACCCATCTAGTCCAAAATATGTATAATTGCTCAAAACATTTCATCCCCTCCCCTATTATCGTGTGTCCAGGTCATGGAACTGGCAAAGCTGAACTTATCAACGATGTCTGAGTTTTGTACCAGACATTATGTGATTATTTACTGAATAGGGCTAGACAATATGTAATTATTTACTGAATAGTGCTAGACAATATGTGATTATTTACTGAATAGTGCTAGACAGTATGTGATTATTTACTGAATAGTGCTAGACAATATGTGATTATTTACTGAATAGTGCTAGACAATATGTGATTATTTACTGAATAGTGCTAGACAATATGTAATTATTTACTGAATAGTGCTAGACAATATGTGATTATTTACTGAATAGTGCTAGACAGTATGTGATTATTTACTGAATAGTGCTAGACAATATGTGATTATTTACTGAATAGTGCTAGACAGTATGTGATTATTTACTGAATAGTGCTAGACAATATGTAATTATTTACTGAATAGTGCTAGACATTATGTGATTATTTACTGAATAGTGCTAGACAATAGGTGATTATTTACTGAATAGTGCTAGACAATAGGTGATTATTTACTGAATAGTGCTAGACAATAGGTGATTATTTACTGCATAGTGCTAGACAATAGGTGATTGTTTACTGAATAGTGCTAGACAATAGGTGATTATTTACTGAATAGTGCTAGACAATAGGTGATTATTTACTGAATAGTGCTAGACAGTATCTGATTATTTACTGAATAGTGCTAGACAATAGGTGATTATTTACTGAATAGTGCTAGACAATCTGTGATTATTTAGTGAATAGTGCTAGACAGTATGTGATTATTTACTGAATAGTGCTAGACAATAGGTGATTATTTACTGAATAGTGCTAGACAATATGTGATTATTTACTGAATAGTGCTAGACAGTATGTGATTATTTACTGAATAGGGCTAGACAATATGTGATTATTTACTGAATAGTGCTAGACAATATGTGATCATTTATTGATTGCTATCAGATAATATGTAATCATTTATTAATTACTGCCATGCAATGTGTGATCATTTATTGATCAGTGCCAGACAATATGTGATCATTTATTGATCAGTGCCAGACAATATGTGATCATTTATTGATCAGTGGCAGACAATATTTGATCATTTATTGATCAGTGCCAGACAATATTTGATCATTTATTGATCAGTGCCAGGCAATATGTGATCATTTATTGATCAGTGCCAGACAATATTTGATCATTTATTGATCAGTGGCAGACAATATTTGATCATTTATTGATCAGTGCCAGACAATATGTGATCATTTATTAACAGTGCCAGAGAATATTTGATCATTTGTTGATCAGTGCCAGACAATATTTGATCATCTATACATCAGAAACGTTACTACACTAAACTGCTATTGCCTTAGACACCCCCCCCCACCCCACCCCCACACCCCCCCCCCCACACACACACACAAACACACAACTCACTCCTCACTAATACTATTTGCGGCTTCAGCGGATGGCTGTGGGCTCCTTTGGGGGCCGTTCCGAGTTTACAAGTCGGCGATTGGAGGAATCGATTTCTGACAGAGGTTGTATATTTGTAGGCTTGGCAAGATAAGTCATCGTCGTCTGATTTCAAGAGATTGCCCAGACCAGGGATAACTGGCTTTAGGGCGCGATCCCGGGACGGCGGCACGACAGTCTGGACTATCATCTAGTGGTCGTTTGTTAAGTCTGCCGTCTCAATTGACCTTCTCGTGCACGCGTGATGGCCAACGCCATCGAGCCCGGAGATTTCTGGAGTTGTTTGCACTGGTAACAACCAAGAGTCTGCGGACATCTTCGGTGATTATGGGATCAAGAAATACCGTGGTCTGTTTAGATAAGGTTTCCTGCGGGAAAGTGTGTGCCTATCTCAGAAACGTCTCTTTTGTAGTGTCTCTGATTGTATGGACATTTTGTTAGAATTCATTCATCAACTGTACTTCCAGCGTGGCGACATGTTAAATCATTTCGGGAAAAGTGCGATCACAAATATAGAATAAAGAACGAGATTACACCAGTCACGGTGCTGTTTTCTGTACCAGTCACGGTGCTGTTTTCTGTACCAGTCACGGTTCTGTTTTCTGTACCAGTCACGGTGCTGTTTTCTGTACCAGTCGCGGTGTTGTTTTCTGTACCAGTCACGGTGTTGTTTTCTGTACCAGTCACGGTGCTGTTTTCTGTACCAGTCACGGTGTTGTTTTCTGTACCAGTCACGGTGTTGTTTTCTGTACCAGTCACGGTGCTGTTTTCTGTACCAGTCATGGTGTTGTTTTCTGTACCAATCACGGTGTTGTTATCTGTACCAGTCACGGTGATGTTTTCTGTACCAGTCACGGTGTTGTTTTCTGTACCAGTCACGGTGTTGTTTTCTGTACCAGTCACGGTGTTGTTTTCTGTACCAGTCACGGTGTTGTTTTCTGTACCAGTCACGGTGCTGTTTTCTGTACCAGTCACGGTGTTGTTTTCTGTACGGGTCACGGTGCTGTTTTCTGTACGGGTCACGGTGCTGTTTTCTGTACCAGTCACGGTGCTGTTTTCTGTCATAAAAAAAGAATTAGAAACATATTTATATTTTAAAAGATGGAAACGGGCACGAGAGTTTGGGCTAGGCTTTAAGGGTGAAGCTTAACAATTCATATGTGAGTTTGTTTAACTGCTCGCTTCCTAAATGAAGTATGAGATATATATATATATATAATGTGTGTGAGAATGAGAGAGAGAGAGAGAGAGAGAGAGAGAGAGAGAGAGAGGGGGGGGGTAGGTTGTATAGCTTGTGGGGATTGTTATTAGCACACAAACACACACACACACACACATATTTACATACACATCCACATGCAAATAGAAACACATACATATATAACACCCATGGAAGGAAAAATGAGACAAGTCCATAGAAGGTGAGGACTGTTTAATGGGAGGGAAGAGAGGACAGTTCTATTGAAGGAAAGAGAGGACAGTTCTATGGAAGGAAAGAGAGGACAGTTCTATGGAATGAAAGAGAGGACTGTTTAATGGGAGGGAAGAGAGGACAGTTCTATGTGAGGAAAGAGAGGACAGTTCTATGGAAGGAAAGAGAGGACTGTTTAATGGGAGGGAAGAGAGGACAGTTCTATGGAAGGAAAGAGAGGACAGTTCTATGGAAGGAAAGAGAGGACAGTTCTATGGAAGGAAAAAGAGGGCAGTTCTATGGGAGGAAAGAGAGGACATTTCTATGAAAGGAAAGAGAGGACAGTTCTATGAAAGGAAAGAGAGGACAGTTCTATGTGAGGAAAGAGAGGACAGTTCTATGAAAGGAAAGAGAGGACAGTTCTATGGAAGGAAAGAGAGGACAGTTCTATGGGAGGAAAGAGAGGACAGTTCTATGGAAGGAAAGAGAGGACAGTTCTATGGAAGGAAAGAGAGGACATTTCTATGGAAGGAAAGAGAGGACAGTTCTATGAAAGGAAAGAGAGGACAGTTCTATGGGAGGAAAGAGAGGACAGTTCTATGAAAGGAAAGAGAGGACAGTTCTATGGAAGGAAAGAGAGGACAGTTCTATGGAAGGGAAGAGAGGACAGTTCTATGAAAGGAAAGAGAGGACAGCTCTATGAAAGGAAAGAGAGGACAGTTCTATGGAAGGAAAGAGAGGACAGCTCTATGAAAGGAAAGAGAGGACAGTTCTATGGGAGGAAAGAGAGGACAATTCTATGGAAGGAAAGAGAGGACAGTTCTATGAAAGGAAAGAGAGGACAGTTCTATGGAAGGAAAGACAGGACAGTTCTATGGGAGGAAAGAGAGGACAGTTCTATGGAAGGAAAGAGAGGACAGTTCTATGGAAGGAAAGAGAGGACAGTTCTATGGAAGGAAAGAGAGGACAGTTCTATGGGAGGAAAGAGAGGACAGTTCTATGGAAGGAAAGAGAGGACAGTTCTATGGGAGGAAAGAGAGGACAGTTCTATGGAAGGGAAGAGAGGACAGTTCTATGGAAGGAAAGAGAGGACAGTTCTATGGAAGGAAAGTCAAGCTGAAGGCACGCAAGCTGCCAATTTTATTAGGTTCATCAACTCAAAATCACATATGAATAAAGAAATGTATTATATGCGTGTGTGTGTGTGTGTGGGGGGGGGGGGGAGAGAGAGAGAGAGAGAGAGAGAGAGAGAGAGAGAGAGAGAGAGAGAGACAAAGAGAAAACATATTCCATGCTTAGTTTATGTTGAGTCCGCAGAGATGTTGTATTTCATATATCAACAGAGGTACAATGATCTCTGTTTGTCCGCGAAGTACAACAATGCATGTTTAACCTGACAAACCAGTTATACATGAACAACTTGCGAACAATCAGACAGATTTGATGTCCCAACTACAGTTCTCCAAGGATATTCAACACACATCCTGTATGTGCTAATTGTCACAGATAGCAAAACGTGATACCGACTCGTGACTCTAGTCTCTGACACTGTTAAACTTTTATGAAAAAATCTGACATCGTTAAGTAAACTATCGTAAAAAATTACTCCATTAAAGTACCTTATAAAATGTGATATGGTTAGACTATCGAGGAATCTGACAATAATTAAACTATTGGGAGATCCGACGCAGTTCAGCTACTGTGAAATCTGACAACATTAAACTATCGTTAAATCTGATGCAATAGATGCTTCTTATGAAAGGTTAGACACAACATGGTTGCACGTTGTTACTAAGCTCGTTGTTGAACTGGCCTGTCAATCCTGAATAAAACTGTACTTGACACCTGACTGATGTAGTCGTAACAGATGCCCTCATTATAACTGGTTAGGAGGTCTATGTAACAGATGCCCTCATTGTAACTTGTTAGGTCTATGTAACAGATGCCCTCATTACAACTTGTTAGGAGGTCTATGTAACAGATGCCCTCATGACAACTTGTTAGGAGGTCTATGTAACAGATGCCCTCATTGTAACTTGTTAGGTCTATGTAACAGATGCCCTCATTGTAACTTGTTAGGTCTATGTAACAGATGCCCTCATTACAACTTGTTAGGAGGTCTATGTAACAGATGCCCTCATTATAACTTGTTAGGAGGTCTATGTAACAGATGCCCTCATTATAACTGGTTAGGAGGTCTATGTAGCAGATGCCATCATTACAACTTGTTAGGAGGTCTATGTAACAGATGTCCTCATTACATCTTGTCAGGAGGTCTATGTAACAGATGCCCTCATTACAACTTGTTAGGAGGTCTATGTAACAGATGCCCTCATTACAACTTGTTAGGAGGTCTATGTAAGAGATGCCATCATTACAACTTGTAAGGAGGTCTATGTAACAGATGTCCTCATTAAAACTTGTTAGGAGGTCTATGTAACAGATGCCCTCATTATGACTTGTTAGGTCTATGTAACAGATGCCCTCATGACAACTTGTTAGGAGGTCTATGTAACAGATGCTCTCATTATAACTTGTTAGGAGGTCTATGTAACAGATGCCCTCATTGTAACTTGTTAGGTCTATGTAACAGATGCCCTCATTACAACTTATTAGGAGGTCTATATAACAGATGCCCTCATGACAACTTGTTAGGAGGTCTATGTAACAGATGCCCTCAGTGTAACTTGTTAGGTCTATGTAACAGATGCTCTCATTGTAACATTTTAGGTCTATGTAACAGATGCCCTCATTACAACTTGCTAGGAGTTCTATGTAACAGATGCCCTCATTATAACTTGTTAGGAGGTCTATGTAACAGATGCTCTCATTATAACTGGTTAGGAGGTCTATGTAACAGATGCCATCATTACAACTTGTTAGGAGGTCTATGTAACAGATGTCCTCATTACATCTTGTCAGGAGGTCTATGTAACAGATGCCCTCATTACAACTTGTTAGGAGGTCTATGTAACAGATGCCCTCATTACAACTTGTTAGGAGGTCTATGTAACAGATGCCATCATTACAACTTGTTAGGAGATCTATGTAACATATGTCCTCATTACAACTTGTTAGGTGTTAGGAGGTCTATGTAACAGATGCCCTCATTATGACTTGTTAGGTCTATGTAACAGATGCCCTCATGACAACTTGTTAGGAGGTCTATGTAACAGATGCCCTCATTATAACTTGTTAGGAGGTCTATGTAACAGATGCCCTCATTGTAACTTGTTAGGTCTATGTAACAGATGCCATCATTACAACTTGTTAGGAGGTCTATGTAACAGATGTCCTCATTACAACTTGTTAGGAGGTCTATGTAACAGATGCCCTCATTATGACTTGTTAGGTCTATGTAACAGATGCCCTTATGACAACTTGTTAGGAGGTCTATGTAACAGATGCCCTCATTATAACTTGTTAGGAGGTATATGTAACAAATGCCCTCATTATAACTTGTTAGGTCTATGTAACAGATGCCCTCATTACAACTTGTTAGAAGGTATGTGTAATAAATGCCCTAATTATAAATTGTAATGAGGTCTATGTAACAGATGCCCCCATTACAACTTGTTAGGAGGTCTATGTAACAGATGACCTCATTACAACTTGTTAGGAGGTCTATGTAACAGATGACCTCATTACAACTTGTTAGGAGGTCTATGTGACAGATGCCCTCATTATAACTTGTTAGGAGGTCTATCTAACAGATGCCCTCATTATAACTTGTTAGGAGGTCTATGTAACAGATGCCCTCCTTATAACTTGTTAGGAGGTTTATGTAACAGATGCCCTCACTATAACTTGTTAGGTTTATGTAACAGATGTCCTCATTGTAACTTGTTAGGTCTATGTAACAGATGCCCTTATTATAACTTGTTAGGTCTATGTAACATATGTCCTCATAATAACTTTTTTTCTCGAGGTCTATGTAACAGATGCCCTCATAATAACTTTTTTTCTGGAGGTTTATGTTACACTTTAACCAGTGAAATGAAGTGGCAGAGGATACTACCAATTTAACCTTCGTAGCAGAGTGAGAAATGATGCTATCAAACAGTCTCCTAGAGTAACATCGTGCACCAAATTCACCCAGACGCAGGGGATCACATGGTTTGGTCATCTCGAAATTTAAAAAAACAAGTCATAACAACAACTGTCAACATCGGCGCGAAACGTCTACACAGATCAGAATAAACAAAATCGGGTAAAAATCTCCCGAATGCGTGTTAGCTCCGCTAATTTACATACTAGGTCACTTTTCATTCTTAGTTTGTTAAGCTCGTCAACTTTGCTAAAGGTTACGGGGTTGTCCCGGTGTACTGTTTGCTCGAAAAGCTTTGTGTATTGTCTTCCATTTATGTTTTTATTCCGAGAAGAGAATGCGTGGGACATAGATTCTGGCACTCTCGTAGAGGGTTGGACATGCTGGAATATACAATACGCGATATCAGCGGTTTTGTACATAACAGGTCAGCGCTTTTAGTGCTCTAAAAACATGCAGCACTGGCCTTAACACAAACTCCTCTTCGGGGGTGCTGCAACCTACGTCACACGCATTCTATTTGTCGGAATGAAAACGTTGTGACGACACGCTCAGTGACTTCAGAATGTCTTTCCTCAACCTACTTTTATTTCGGTGTATTTTAAA